TGTGTCCTCATAAGTTCGTAACATAACTTAATACCAATTTAAATTAGTTTTAGGAAAGAACGTTAATTTCTCTATCCGTTGCAACTATTTATCTACTCTTATAGAAGGGTTCTACGAGGTATACACACAGGTAGGCCTTAGTGAAAGTGATAATATTCGACAAAGAGGAAAAGAGAAGTCTGTGCCAGTATGGCATGGAGCTTACAGCTAAATACACAAGAGAGGTGCGTATATCGAAGGTGCTAGAAACGCCAAGGTCAAAAATGTGGTTCGTGCGGCGTACCTCAGGAGTGCACCCAGTCGGAGGGCAGGCCTGGCTTTCATAGAGTTCAAGCCAGGCAAACACCCCTAGGCGCCAGCCCCATGACATCTTAAAGCAAACCAATTTTGGAAAATTCAAAAGTAGAAGACGTATACTTCGTCTAAGAGAAATTTATTTAATAATAGTGGTTATAACTCCATAAAAATATATAATTTAACCTATTTTCTTACAAAAAACAGCTTCAACCTCTATATAAAATAATAAATGTTTAAGAATATATATAATTTAATTACTACCTTTACTATCTCTCTTCTTATAATCTCCAATAGTACAGTACTAACCAACTAAAAAGGGATCAATCTTAATATTATATACTATATTAATATAATTTTCCTAAGCGCTCTCAACGCTACTATCTCTAATTTGTATAATATTCAAACAATATTAATAAATACTAAGTTACTTCTCGTATCTAGTTGAAAATACTCAAAAAAGAATACCAAGATACTGTAACAGCCGACGCGATACGGAACTACGTGCGGTTCGAAACAACTATATAAGACCACTTAAGTATCGAATCTTCCAGCTTCGATTACTTGTATTCTTTTGCAGGAACATAGCCTGGTTAGTGTAGTGGTCTGCCACCGCCGTGACAGATACTATATCTTAATATAAGCAAAAAGTAAGTGAGGAATGATCATTTGTGACGAACGGCAGTCTGATCTGCCTAAATGGGATAGTTAAAGGTAAAAACTATCAGTGCTGTTCGGTGAAGCTAAAGAGTTTATAACAAGTATGCTTGCAATATTGGTCTCAGTGATAGTGATTTATTGACTACTGTCGAACTATCTGACAATCTGAGTTCTCCCGTAGTCCCTTTATACCTGCTCGCCCTCTGCGAGATAGCTGTTTCCGAATGTCCACATAGACGTGAACCCTATAGCGTGTGGTTTACAAGCTAGCTTGATTCGTGAGTTTGGCTCGATTCGTGAGTCTGGCTCGACTTCTAGAGCCCTTGCCTGCCCAGAGCTCTTTTCCTACCTCTGGTTACACTGCGTAGCTTACGCGTGGCTGTTATGTACCGGTGGCTTGGTTGGCCCGTGCCCTTCATTCTCAGTTCGTAACAAAGCTTTACAGATCTCTTCGTCGGTTGATACTTCCAAAGTCCATTATGTAATTTTTTAAAATAACGTAAGATTTTAATATTAATATAGCAGGAAAGAATTGTTACTTAAAAGCTAGAACACCATGTTAACTAAATAAATAATTGTATTTTTGGAGTTTAATAATTTTTAATTTAAACGTTAATTTAAGTATGTTTATCATCTAAAGAGTCTTTTTTCCAACGGAAAATATTACCCAACTCTTTAAGTATTATAGTAACGTCAATCTTCCCTTAATGCAATTTAATACAAATTTCTCTACAAACTTTATAATAAATCTCTAAATCGTCGTCCTTTATATAATTAAAAACTTATTATACTATAATATACACTTTAGTTTCCCTCTGAATATAATAGAATATTCCTTAATTATACTGTTAACGTGTAGCTAGTACTGTGCTTTGTAACTGCCTTGTGCTATCTTGTAGTATAAAAGGCTGATTGAACTATTCCTTCTACGGAATCAGTTAGCTCAGCTCCCACAGAACGTGTTAGAATACAGAGGTTTTGCTACTGTATTCTGGGATTCTCTAACTTGTTCAACACTTCTTCTAGTCTAATTTGTCATCATGGAATGTATCAAAAGCTTATAGGTTTAGTTCATTCCTTTTATGGTATAGTACTCCTACACACACTCCTATTAACTTACAGAAGCTTCTACACTCTGGAAGCTTTTACATACTCAACGTTCGTGCATATAAAAATGTGACGAACGGCAGTCTGATCTGCTTAAATCAGATGGCTGAAGGTAAAACTATCAGTAGACGTTTGGTGAAGCCAAAGGGTTCACAACAAGTATAGTAGCGTTATACTGGTCTCGGTGATAATGATCAATTGACTACTGTCAAACTATCTGACAATCTGAGTTCTCCCGTAGTCCATTTATACCTGCTCGCTCTCTGCGAGATATCTGTTTTCGGATGTTCACGCAACCGTGAGCTCCTAGTGTTTGGTGCTTGGGTTTTGCGGGCTCACTCTGATTAGCACGAGCCTTGTTGTTCTGTGAGCTCTATTTTATTTGCAACTACGCTGCTTCCTTCAGCACTGCTATTGTACTTCCTACCGCTTCTGCTCCGCTCTGCTACAAGTGCATAGTTCACTGTAGCATCTCTATACTAGTGCTATTATTATGGGCTAGTTAGGGCATTGCAGCAAACATATATAATAAAATATTTAATAATAGCGGATATTGGGCCCGTATTTTTAACTTTCGTATTCTTCTTTAATTTAATCTCCTACTAAGTTGTTTCCTTCTTAACATCCTTAGTAAGCGCTTATAGCTTCTTTTAATTAGCTGGAATAAAAACGGAATACAAAATAAACGAGGAAATCTCCAAAGTATTAATTGATATAACTAATAGAATCGGACCTTTTTAGCACTAAATTATATATTAGCGCTAAACTATAAATTAGTCCTATCGATTAAGGACCGCCACCGTCGTTAAATAAAAGGGAAAACAGGTCATTCTTCCTTTAGAGCATATATATATTAGAAAAAAGAATAAAATTACTTTTAAAGAGAGGCGGCCACCCGCTGTTAAATAGGTATAGTAAAAGCGCTGTAAAGGGCATTAATAGCTTTAATAAACCTTTTAGCGACTAGAGGGCGGGCTGGGCTCCTAAATAAGTTTCTTATTTACTTTACGTAGCGTAGCTAAAATATCATCCTTCAAAAGCGCTATTGTAACCAATATAGGGTAGAAAGTAGGCGCCGGGCCCTTCTCCAAGTAAGAAAAAATCGTAATAATTACTTAAGGATTTTAGCAATTCTATAGATACCCAATCCTAATTAGTTTACTCTCAAAAGACATTCTCTAATTAGCCAGAGCTAATTTCAGAAAAATATTTCTCGAGAGAAAGTAAGGGGAGAAAGAAAAAGAATATAGTATAGCGTTTTTCTTATCTTACCTTTTTGCTCTTCTAGAAACCATTCATATCATTTCATACCTAAAATTACAACAGAAGTAGTATCTACTTTGACTACAATATACACCGGACTATAATCATTTATCGTTGACATAACAAGAACCTATTAATAACTATAGGGTTCTCTCTATTATCATTCATAATTTCTACCCATTTTCTGATATGTAGTCCAACCACTCAACCACTTACATACATACTGATAGACACACGACTTTCTTACTGCTATTAGTAAAATGATGTAGCCATACTTATACTCGAATATGTATGTCTGTTAGAACAAGATACAGTTGTTAAGGACAATGAAACAGGTATTGACAGGCTAGATGTGTTGTGGATATGTGTTGTCATTCATCTCAGCTCTCTCGCTCTCTCTCTCTCTCTCTCTCTCCCTCCATGTGACGACCTGGCCCCCGTTTTGCCTTTCTTCGCTGCGTATGTTGGGTGGCCGTCGTCGTCGTCCATCATGACATTCCCCTTCAGTCGTCAACCCGCACAATTCTAGTAACCCTCGCGCCTCCTCTTTCCTTTTCATCTTCCTATCTATGACCATCCCTTCCTTTTCGGCGCCCTATTTGATTGACATAATATGAGC